GTAAAATGACCCTTATGAGCCTCTGTCATCACTTCCTCCGCCAACTGCCTAGGTACAACAACACGACCCTGATATAATAGTATACCCTCATCATTGCAGGATACACCACTCTGACCTTTTAGTCGTCTAGCACTTTCATTTTGCAGTTGGGCTTCTTTGATTCTGGTCATCAGTTCATTCTCAATGCTTGTGATTTCAAAGCCACAAATTTTACATGGAAAAATTTTAGATACTTGAATATCTCTGAACCTCTCAATCACATCATAATCTCTGATCATCATGCTTGATATACTCACGGATTTTCGGCTCAGTGCATCAGCTACAACATTAGCCTTGCCAGGATGATATTTCAATTCAAAATCATAGTCCTTTAGGAACTCGGTCCACCGTCGTTGTCTCATATTCAGCTCCTTCTGATCAAACAAGTATTTCAAACTCTTGTGATCGCTGAATATTGCAAATTGCATTCCATACAAGAAATGCCTCCACTGTTTCAACCCAAAAACAATTGCAGCAAGCTCAAGGTAATGGGTTGGATAATTTTCTTCATGCGGTTTCAATTGCCTCGATGCATAAGCTACCACCCGCCTATCTTGCATCAGCACACATCCCAATCCCTTTTTGGAAGCATCGCTGTATAGCTCAAATTCACCTTCCGGGTCGGGATGTACTAACACCGGAGCGGTCGTCAGTTTCTCCTTAAGGCTCTGAAAGCATTCTTCACATTCTTGTGTCCAAACAAATGGAGTATCCTTCCGGGTCAAACGGGTCAATGGCAACACCATGGCTGAAAATTCTTTAATGAATCTCCGGTAATAACCAGCCAAACCCAGAAAACTTCTTATTTCTGTTACTGTCTTGGGTCTTTCCCAATCAACAACTGCCTCTATCTTGCTAGGATCAACCGCTACTCCATCAGCAGAGATAACGTGACCCAAAAATTGCACTTGAGAAAGCCAAAATTCGCATTTAGAAGGCTTTGCATATAACTGTTTCTCTCTGAGAATTTGCAACACAGTTCTCAAGTGACCTTCATGCTCTTCCTTACTCTTGGAATATATCAGGATATCATCAATAAACACAATCACGAATTGATCCAGAAACGGCTTAAATATGCGATTCATGTAATCCATAAACACCGCAGGAGCATTAGTGAGTTCAAATGGAATTACTTGATACTCATAATGTCCATATCTAGATCGGAAGGCAGTCTTCGGAATATCTTCCTGCCTAATTCGGATTTGATGATAACCCGACCTCAAATCAATCTTTGAGAAAACACAAGAACCCCTCAACTGATCAAGCAAATCATCTATGCGAGGGAGAGGATACTTGTTCTTAATGGTAACCTTATTCAACTGACGGTAATCAGTGCACAATCTCATGCTACCGTCCTTCTTCTTAACAAATATGACTGGTGCTCCCTACGGGGACACATTTGGCCGGATAAACTGCTTAGCCGAAAGCTCTTCAATATGCTTCTTTAACTCGGCTAATTCCGGTGGTGACATCCTATACGGAGCCAGAGAGATAGGCCCCACACCAGGCAATAGATCAATCGTGAACTCAATCTCTCTATGAGGCGGAAGTTGTGGAATTTCATCTGGAAACACATCCACAAACTCCCTCACCACGGAAATAGTGTCAATCTCCTTATGACTTCCGCCTACTAAACCCCCCACAAAGACATATCCCAATGCCCCGGCCCTCAAAGCCTTTCTAACCTGCAACACAGATAGATATGGGGAAGAACTAGTAGCAGAATCATCAGCATCAAGCACAATCCTTTTACCACAGCAGTCTATCATAGCACAGTTCTTTGACAACCAGTCCATACCCAAGATAACTTGAAGGCTGATCATAGGTAAACAAATAAAATCCAGCACGTAATCTCGGCCTTCATATTTGAATTCAACATCTTTACACAACACGGATGTATAACACTCCTCTCCAGTAGCAGTAACCACTTTCATTGGAGGGCGAATGTCATACATTTGCAAATTTAGCCCAACGGCCATAAAGTCAGACATACAAGAGTGTGTATCTCCTGAATCAAACAACACTTCAACATCCATATTATCAATGTAAATTGTACCTTTCACTAGATTCGGAGCCTTCTCCGATTGTTGACGGTCCATGGTATATACTCTACCAACCGTCTGAGACTCTAGCATAGGTGGAACAACAGAGACCGGAACAGCAGTAGCTTGAACTGCCATAGTCCTTGCTTCGTTCTGAGGACACTGCCTGGAGTAGTGCCCAGATCTTCCACATTTAAAACAAATCAATTCACCGGTAGCACATGGACCTCTATGATCTTTGCCACATCCCTTGCACTTGGGAGGAGGTCCTCTATCAACAAATATCTTCTGAGTACCGGGTTTTTTGAACAAGTCAAGGGCTTATTCGCATTCAGCTTCTTGCCTTGCACCTTCCTGTCCTTCCAATAACCTGAGCCCGTTGCTCTATGGGAACTAGGTGCCTGGGCCTCAGAAGACTTCTTGGTTTGGGACACCTTATACACTTCTTCCACTTTCCTACACTGGTTCACAAACCGACTGAACTCTCGGATGTTACAATTTGACATATTCCGAGACATCTTCTCATTAAGACCCCATTGGAACTTGGAGGTCATTTCAGCCGGAGTGGGTAAGGCTCGCCCATAGTTGGCGTATTTCACCAACTCATTGAATTTTGAGAAGTATTGGTCAATAGACATCGACCCTTGCTTGAGATCGTTGTACTCATTCTGCTTTTGTTCCCTAGCCTCTCTAGGGAAGTAGTTATCCAAGAACAATGTCTCGAACAACCGCCATGTGATCTCCCGACCTTCAGCTTCTAATGGCTGCACAGTATTGGTCCACCAATCTTCCGCTTCCTCTTCCAGCATATAAACAGAGTAAGCCAACTTCATTGCGTCAGGGCATCTCATCACCCTAAATATCTTCTCCATAGCTTGGAGCCATTTTGCAGCCGCCATTGGCTCATAACCTCCCTTAAAAGAAGGAGGTTTATGTTTTCGGAAAGCCATCAGTCTCCTTTCCTCCATTTCATGATCACCGACATTTTCAACTTGAGGTTGACGAACCTTAGTGTGATGACTCCGACTTCCGGAGTGGTGACTACCTTCACCCTCATTGTTACCCACTCCACCCTCTTCCTGTGAAGGAGGTGGAGAAGGCGTAGCAGTGTGAGGAGGAGGAGTAGGTTGCCGGTTCACGGGCCTAGGACCCCTCAACGTCCTCAGCTCAGTCATCATTGCGGCCATGGCAGTCCGCGAGTCTTCATTTGTTTTCATCAGATTTTCATTGGCTTGCCTGCTAGCAGCCAACTCCCTCTGAACGGCTGCAAGAGCTTCAGCCACGGGATCAGGCTGTACGCCCGTTGCCCCTCGGCCACTTCTAGGCCTCACAAGAGCAGCCAAAACAGGTTCTGGCTGAGCATTGGTGTTTGATGGTCCGGGGTTGTTTCGGTTCTTCGTCATGTCACTACACATGTTACACAAAGAAGTGAGTTGATCAGGCCCACACTTAGTGATCACAAATGCAATAATCATACAGAGTACTAAAACAACTATAAAGCATCAAACACTAAGCATACTCAACAATAGCTAACAGTTATTCCCGACGAAACTGCTCTGATACCATAAAATGTAACACCCCGTTCTAGAACCGGTTTGTTAACATCGCATTATGATATTAAGCGCAGTTACAATCACATGGGTTCAATTAAAATCCGGATAAATTTTTCATTTTAAAACGTACCGAACTTATAATACCCAATTTCGTGATCATAACCAAATTACCTTGCGGAAACAGATAAATTAAGCTTAACATCATGTTCATTTTCCATTTTTAAACCTTTAATTTACTTCTTGTTTAGTTCAATACTTCTACTATATTGTAGGTTTCTTCATTAGCTACCTGTGGCTTCAAACCGTTCTCAAATCGGAGCACTGTAGCCCAAGTTAGGACCATTTGAAGCAACACAATAGAGTGTTGGTCACAGGCCCCGCGCGCTTCAGCGCGCTACCGGGCGCTCAAGCGCGCGCTATCGGGCGCTAAAGCCTCCGTCTGGGCGCTTAGGCGCACGGAGGCAGTAAGCATTAGCATTTCCAGTGTGGATGGGCGCTTAAGCGCGCAACAGGGCGCTCAGGCGCGCTAGCCTGGGCGCTCAAGCTCCCACTGGGACGTTTTAGCGCGCAGAGACAGAAGCATCTCCTCCTTCAGTGGCGAAGGGCGCTTAAGCGCGGACCAGGGCGCTCAAGCGCGCAACCCTGGGCGCTTAAGCCCCACCCTGGGCGCTAAAACACGAGGGGGCAGTAAGCCACCCAACTTTCTGCAGCAAGGGGCGCTTAAGCGCACGCCAGGGCGCTCCAGCGCGCAATCCTGGGCGCTTAAGCCCCCACTTGGGCGCTCCAGCGCGAGGAGGCAGAATGCATTGGCACTCGCAGGGGCAGCAGGGCGCTTGGGCGCGCTCCTGGGCGCTTAAGCGCGCTGCCAGGGGATTCCAATTCCCACATTTCTCAAGTCCAAGCCTAGGGGAGAATGCATCCCCATTACAAACCCCAAATGTCCATGCCCCAAAACTAAATCCTAGCACTCATCCAACCTCTCCTCATGAGATTTAGCTAGAATTTGGGCAGCATGACCTTTGTTTTCTCATCGTTTACCAGTTTAAACGAAGAGGGTACCTAATTGATTTTCAGCCCAACCAATTCAACAACTCAATACATAACAAGCATGCATATATTGAATTCCAAGTAGACATCATTTACATTACATATCCTTTACAAATCATAGAACTTAGCTTACAAAACACTATGATCATTCCCTTGGCTCCCATCAACAATAGGTGTAACCAAAGGCATGAGCATAGGCTAAGTTCATCCAATGAATCAAGATATACATATGATCATGGGCTTTCAAAATAAAATCCTATACATGTCAACCACAAAAGGCATGCATAAACTCAAAGGAGTGCCATATTTCATGCATAATCCAGATATGGCCACTTGCCACCAGAGGCTCCTGCAGCATCCTTACCTGAAAGGGGGTCCCCACAACACGGGGTGAGATATACGAATATATCCAGTAAACCAGGGGTCCTTGGAGCATCTCTCCACCCCACAGTTCCATATCAGTGTAATAGCAATAACAATAATAATGCAGTAAATACATATCTATGCAAAGTGCAATACATCTCCAGGAGAAATCCCTCGAGCTCTCAAGCTGTCCTAAGGAAACTCAGATGCAAATAGTCCTACTGGCCAGCTAACTACCAAGTATGATTTACGCATCGTCATGCCACATACCAACATAGGGAAACACCATCCTATGCCACACCAAATGCATACACATACGTATAACAAAGCATTACACTATTTTATTGCATTTATATACACAATCACAACCTCCACCCTTTCAGGGCTTGGTAGAACAGTCAAGGGAATTACACCCAAGGTCCGAAGGCTTACCTCAATGCTTCAATCGACCTTTGTTCTTCACCAACAGTTTCAGCAATCAACTTTTACAAACATACACCTACACATGGTGTAATGCAATCAACACATTGCATCCAAGAGTATTTCACAATCAACCATCAATTACTCAATTCAAAGCACAACCCAAGTATGAGCTTACCAATTCCAATGAGCTATTCAAGCTCCATAGCTTGCTCCAATGGTTGATCACTCACGGTTGGTCCAAATGTCTCAATCCTAGACATCACAAGGATACAATCGATCATTCAACTCACTAATTGTTCAACATGCTAGAATACTAACCAATCCAAGCATGAATTTTCCAATATTATGAACAATTATCAAATGACTATCTAGGCTCATTTCCACCGATTAAATGTCGTTCCTAGCATTTTTCATAACATGCTCTAAGCTTAAATCTTCCTAGAACATAGTCAATTCAACTACATTTCACCAAAATCCCAATTTACTATTCATAAACCCTAACTCATGCAAATTTCAAGGAATCATGAGGTTCAAGGGTTAGAATCTTACCACCAATGGTCACACAACCAAGCAAGGAGTGTTCCTCAAGCTCCCATGGAGGTTGAACTTCCCAAAACCCCAAAATCACTCAAATGGTCGAATTTTTGAGGGGTAATATCTCTCTCCACAATGCTCCCCACTCAAAACAAAGCTAGGATTATGAAAGAGGGGAAGATTCTAAGTGATTTAGGCTTTTGAATCGCTCCAATCGGTTGAAAATCACACAACCTAGGTTTTCTTTCTCTCTCTCTCTCCCTTCCTCTTCTCTTCTCTTCTTTCTGGGCGTCGACGGGCTTCTGGGGAAAATGGGGTCATTTGGTGACTTAAGTCACTTAACTTAGGTTAAGTGGCTCTAAGCGGGTATTGGTTCGTCTATCTATTTAACTCCAATAATTACCAAACTTTACCCAAAAGTCTGGAATATTATTCTAGGAATATTACTATTTTTATTTTTATATTTTGGGTACTTTTGACAGTACCCATTTATACCCCTTAATTTTCACTGAGTACACTTTTTAACTCCAAAGTGACTCAGATTCATTTTATTAAGCCTCACACTTAATTTCACCCAGTAAAACATGTTTAATTAATTAATTACACTTGATTTCCTAATTAATTAATATGGGCTATTATATTAGGTAACTTTATGAAATTAATAGTGCATTAAAAGCCAGATAACCGGTTTTCTGAAAAATCCCACCTTCAAATTGGGTTTCTAAACAGTGCGAATATCTATGTTTCTCATAAATCCAGACAAATTGGATAGATGAGTTTTTGGTAAAAAACGTTGAAACAAACATCGTGTTTCTAAAAGCCATGCTTGAGAGACATAGATATCCGCTGAAAAGCTCCCAACCAAACACCACCTTAGAGATGATACAGAAAACCAGATAATGGATTTTTCTAAGAACTTGGGAAGAGAAAACTCAGTGCTGCCTGAGCATTGGGGAAATCGAGCGGGCATGGAATTAGTATGGGACAGGGGGTTCAAGCAAATCCAGTTGGAGAGTGATTCAAAGCTTGCTTGGGATTTATTTTGAAGGGTTGCAATCTGCATCATCCGTTTCACGCTTTGGTTCAGTGTACTAGAGGATTTATTAACAGAGCCTAGAGGATGGAAATATCACATATATAATATGCACTAGCCACTCATGCCCAACTTTTTGGTTGGGAAACTCAAGATATCAATATATTATTGGGATTGATATTTTGCCTACAAAATGAAGATAATTTTATGTTCTTCTTCCCTCACATAAAAGTGAGCAAGGATTTCGAGGAGAGAAGAGAGAGAAAGAGAAAAATGAGCTGCACTCATTTTTATAGGAGTGCAGAAAATAAAATTATTTCATTCTAAGCTATTAGGATTGGTATAATGGCGAAGGATTTTGATAGTTTGCATCAGGTTATAGGTTCAAATCTCAGTGCTGTCATTGTATAAAAGAAAATAGTTATCTCCATAAAAATATTAATCTTTATATTAATACTTTTAACCTTCACCATTTATATCTAATCAATTAACATACTTTAATACCTGAGAAACTGTTTGGACATGGTGAATCAATTACCATGTAAACTTCAAACCTAACATAGCCATCAAATCCATGTCCCCAAATATATCATGGACTCAATATAAGTTGGTTTAATTTATAACTTAAAACCAACTTTGTCTATAAGCTAAACTGAAAGTGACCAAATAAATAAAGAACTAGGGAAAGTTTTCAAATTCCAGAAGGCAACTTTAGAGTACAAAAATGTCATTGTGAAGCTACTTGACTTCCTGAGTCATTGCAAGGTTCCATCTTCAATGCTTTCCTCTCGCGACCATAATCTGTTGACAACCTGAGACAACAGTAAGAGAGTTGATAACCTTGAATACTACACTGATTCTGGACAGAACCGAAACCCTTTAGTCACAGGCTCAAAGTAATATTCAACTTCTAGACCTAGTAAAATATCACAATTAGTTCTTAGGCCATGACTCTAAGCTAGTTAATTAAAAAAACCAATCATTCCCCAATAAACCTCGACAAGGCAGGAACGAGGGTAATCTTTGTACAGAGTCTTATCCCTGCATAATTTGCAAGGAGACTATGTCTCGGATTCAAACTCATGACTTTTCACTCACAAAGAAACAGTTTTATCACTCCTCTAAGCTCGCCCTCCAAACTACTTAATTAAAATGTTAAAAATCAAAGCCAACAACAAATTTATCAACTGCAGACTTAGTTAAACTGGTTATGTATCTAAAAATTAAACGCACTAATACTATCCATAACAGATGTAGTAAACTTGGTTATCATATTTAACGGGCCTATTGCATTTTGTAGCCTATGATTATATTCAAATAAGTTTAATTGCCCGCATCATTGCAACTTCTAAGCATTAGCCAATATATATGAAATTAACATAGCAATAGAAAACATACGTTTCAATAAAAACATGCTGGTGAAAAAGGAGTTATGACATACCCTAACTGCAAGGAAGTATCTGAAAGGTCGTTGTCCTCTGAAGAACAATTGAGAAGGGGTTTTGAACCATTGATGGAAATTGTCCTATCCAAAGAATTGAATTCAAGGAACTGTGCCTTTGTTTTATTCTGTATCTCCTCGAGCTGTTTACAGATAAAGATTAAAGATAAGCAAGAGGATAGATTGTAATTGGATATGAAAAGTTAATTTTGACATATTTCATAGTTTTGAGTCATGTTTGATTCTTACTTGTTTGCGCAGAGCTTCATTTTCCATGATGGCCTTTTGCTCCTGCAGACATATTTGGAAAACTTATTATAAATTACAAAAAGAAAGGTGTATTTAAAATTCTCTTCCATTAAAGTAAAACCCATTATTTTCTTCGACCATGAAGAAAGAACAGCTGAAAAAGAATGTAAATTGACTTCATCAAAATAAGTGGACTCGACACCATATCTTAACCCAAAACTCTTAAAGCGTTGATTTCATGGATCCTTCCATTTATATGGTCCTATTTATTCCATTCATAACCATTGTGAGACCTTATCAATCACACTTAAATTCCCAACAAATTATTCATAAAACTTTGGGTTTTGGGGGGAATAAAATTGCCAAAAGTATTGCCTCTTTACTAGTTAGTATTTAGCTAGGTTTACAAGGGCTTTTCAGTCTCACAGAAAGTTTATAACACAGGTATATCATAAAAGAACTTCAATGCAACTATCTATGCATTTGCACCTATTCTCCCACCATTGATAGTCGAGATTTAGTGGGGAGTGGTTTTAGTTGCAAAATAAAAAATGAGATGAAAATTGCAAGTGGTGTCACATACCTGTAACCTGGACCTCTTAAGCTGCTCTACAAGTACTTGTTCCTGCAACATTGCAGTGTGATTGAATGAGGATAATTGCAGCATATCCATACATTAGCAAGTATTGCAGTGAAGTAGAGATTGAATTTGGTAATTGAAACAGATATCAGAAACTAAAAATCAAATAAAAAATGAACCTATTTACAATCTAATTTAACAGAATGCTTGGGAATTGCCCAGTTTCTGACTTTGATCAACCCTTTATACCATATACAATATAATGAAATGCATTACTATTGCCAGTTGAACATAAAAGGATCAAACTCTTGCTATGAAATTATTCAAATTAATGAGTTTCATTGTCTCAATGCTATTTTCTGTTTTCAGAAATACGAAGGTTTTTTTTTTCATCATAGCTTATATCAAAACGCTTGAATATGATCTATAATAACATCTCAATGTCATCATATTAACAAGAAGGTTAAATTAACAAACTTTTTGTTTACAAACTACATTATGTCTGACCGGTCATGCACTAATCAAGAGTGTATGACAAGTTATACTTAGTGTAATTTGTAAAAAAAATTTGTAAACAGATTCTTCCCCATTAAAATAATACAATCAATTACACCAATATTGGTCTTTGTTATTTTGTACCTTCTTGTCTTTGACAGCAAGTATCCCTTCAGCCAGTTGATTTTCTAGGTGTTGCAGTTCGTTAAGGCTCAAACCATCAAGCTCCTTACCCAGCATCCTTCTAAAAATATGAAAATAATATTAGAACAAAATCTGAACCAAGATTTAACGACAAATAAGCACAAAAGATAATGCAAAACCTATAAAATTTCATTAAGGTAGTTACTTTCTTTGGCCATAGATTAAAGTAGTTCATTAATACAGTAATACATATTTATGTTATTTTTAATAGCAACTAGTAATATAAAGCGTAACTTACAAGTATGCTGAACGCAGCTTTGTTATTTCATCCTTCAGAAGGTTGGTATCAGGCTGCATAACCTATTTAAAAGTTAGAATAACACTTTAAAATATATACAGAAAAGAAGAACTTAAAAGGGTTGGGGGCGTATTAAAGAAAGGGAGATGCTTTAAGGAATTAGAGGAACAGTGTCAAATACATTTATTGGGGGCTCATTACTAGGCTGCTCTGCATTATCCAATTCCATGCCTCTGCCGTACCTTAAAAGGGTATGCTCCATGCTTCATGAATGAAATAAAATTTATTTGATCAGAAGAAAATAAATGCCTCAAATTAACCACATTGACAGTTGCAAGAAGAGTAGGAGCACTGAAAAGTTATTAAACAAAAAAAAAGTAGCATGAGCTTTTAACGTGCAATTTAACATAATATTTGATGGAATCAATTCATCTAACCCTTTCCTGTCCCAATCTTGCCTTCACAATAAAACTGATAACTATGTCCAAAAAATAAAACAGCTAACTATGAGACATGAATTTTTATTTCAACGTGTATAGTTAGTTGTCAATAACTAAGAGGATGATCCTTGTAGTAAGATTATTCCTTTGTTACTGGAAAATTACAGTTTCAAATCTTGAAATAGCCTTTTCTTAAAAAATGTGAAGTTAGGTCGCGTATAATTGACTCTCACCCGTATCATCTAAAAATTCGATAGAATAGGGGAAAAATAATGCAAAAGAAAATTTAAATCCTAAGTTGATAGCTGCATGGAAAGCACCTTTGGCAGTAGAAATCTGAAGCAGCAAAAGGTAATGAGATTCTGTATGTCAATATGAATCATATGATACAAATACACAATACACTTTAAAAAATAACCCCTTTCATTGATGTCACACGCATAAAATCGTCTGAGGGTATAACTCCACATCTACCCACTACAATCTCTTTTTATAGTATAGCAGGGTTAATTTCCTCAGATTAGGTTTATATTCGTCTCACTATTCAAATGCAGGGTTCTGTTTGCCACAAAATACAATTCACCCGAATTTTACTCTCTAAAATAAACCCTACAAAAATCCTAATTCAAAGATGCCCGGAATTTTACAATAATTCAAAGTCTTAATTTTTTCCCTTTCAATCAAAATCATTAATACTCTAGCACTGTTTCAAAATTAAGAAACAGTAGTTCGGTATAAGTTTTCTTCTCCATGGAAACAGAGCTTTCAACAAACCAAAAACTTTCCAGCAAACAATTTTAATTTTTTTTTTAGAAAAAAAAAATCTAAATATCCAAGACAAGGAATTTGGATTCTCTCCTATTTCCTTTTTGTGTCTTTCTATCTTGTGACATGACATTGTCATGTTGGGAAGCAAAACAAGATGATCAAAATCATATAACAAGAGCACCCCATATCCCAAAAATCAATAAAATTTTCAAAAGTTATGAGATGTGCAAAAAAATAATAAAAGGTTTCAAAAGGGTACCTTGTGTTTGCAAATTCATAAAGCTTCCCGGTGCTGGAGAAAATGATGACAGCAACCTCTGCATCACACAAAACAGACAATTCTTTTGCTTTCTTGAGCAAACCATTACGCCTCTTGGAGAAGGTAACCTGCCTACTGTTCAAATTCTCAATCTTCTTTATCTCAATTTTCCCTCTCCCCATGGTTTTCTTCTTCTCTCCCAAAAGTTCCTTCCTTTTCTTCACCAAACACTGAACCAACCAGCATTCAGAATAGAGGGTAAGAGGGATAATGAAAAAAATTGAAAAAAAGAAAAAGAAAAAGAAAGGACCCGAAAGAGGTTTCTTATTTATATTCACAGCACACAAAAACAAAACTGTTTGTTTGTTGGAAAGGATTAAGATTCTGCAGAGACCACCAAGGAAGGAAAATGTGACCAAAATAAGGACTTTAGAGGGAAAGGTGACAGATAGATTACTATGTGTGGCAATGATCTTAATATGGTATTCTATTTACTTGAGGAGTAGGTAATCGCCACTTTAGGAATGTTCTCCAATGCCATGTTTGGATGGTACTAGGATTTCTAACCACACTATGATATTCTATAATCAAATTCTTTTAATGATAATTATTGCTCGCGAATCTTGGTAGGTACGTTTTTTTTTCTAAAACTGATGTGATTTCAAAATTCAAATCCTAACATTGTTTTAGTTTTGATTTGGAAGTTACGTTGGACTTAAAAGTTTATTCAATTGTTATCAAAAAAAAAAAAAAAAAAGTTTATTCAATTATTCACATGAATTTGGATTTAAACTTTGATGAATTCATTTAATGATACTTCAAATTTGATAACGGAATAAAAGTTTTATAATAATAGTCTATCATAAGCTTATATCATTTTAGATCCTAACAGTTGATTTTTGTCTATCAACGGTTATAATTTATTGGATCAAAATTATTAATTAATTAATAATAAATTTGGCTCATTAAGTTTGACCCAATAGATTATAATCGTTGATGGACAAAAATCAACGGTTAGGATCTAAAATGATATAAGTTTATATCTTTTAAAAGGATAGATGTTTTTCCTTATATATATATATATATATATATATATATATATATATATATATATATACATATATATATATAGGAATAATATCTATCCTTTTAAAGGATATATACTTATATTCTTTTAGATCCTAACCGTTGATTTTCGTCCATCAACGGTTACAATTTATTGGATTAAAATTATTAATTAATTAATAATAAATTTGGCACATTAAGTTTGACCCAATAGATTATAACCGTTGATGGACGGATATCAACGGTTAGGATCTAAAAGGATATAAACTTACAACCTTTAAAAGGATAGATATTTTTCCATATATATATATATATATATATATATATATATATATATATATATATGTGTATAGGGCTTATCGTTTCTCAAGCTGCTTGAGATAATCTTATCTCCGGCTACTAAATCATAACCATACAAAGATGGATCAATAGTGACAAAGGAAGAGAGAGAAAAAAAAATCATAACCATTCAAATATGAATCAATTAATATAAGGAAATAAATAAATAAAATGACGTAGTTTTAGGGTAGCCAGAGATAAACTTATCTCAAGCACATCGAGAAATATTTTATATATATATATATATATATATATATATATATATATATATATATATATATATATATATATATATCTTAAGTTGTACATTGTTGGAAAATTATATATATCCAGTTACCATATTAGTATTTACTTGGATTGGTAATTCATATAAGGATTGGGTTTTTATCTAAATTCAAAAAGGGGTTTGCCAAATAAAAAAACTTTATCATATTTGACAAGAAGTCATGCTCTTAGCATTCTATTCCAAGTAAGAAGACATAACAACTTTTTTTGTTCATTGTTATTTAAAGAAATTTTCTATTTTAAGAGTGTTTTTACTAAAAAAACTACGGGTGGATCATCAATCATATCTTTTTAGATTTTCAAATCGAATAACAAATACAGTCTACTTCTAATACAGTTTTTTGAACTGCTATTTTCACGTTGTAGAAAAAAATGAATATTATCGTATATTTTTGGAAATTAGTATGCACCTATCTATTTATGAGTAACCGGTGGCCAATGTGAGTAGTTAATTAGAAAGCACGTAAACCTCAAAATTATTGCTATACCAGCATCCGATAATACTTCGGATTTTTTTTCTCCATGTGTTTCAATTAGTTTTAAAATTCATATACTGATAAAAGTGAAATATAATAATGATTAAACAATAATAATATTTATTTGTTAGCATTACTTAAAATATTGGTGTTTTAATTTAATATTAATGTTTTATTTAATATTGAATTTGCATTTTAATCATATCGAACAATATATTTTTAAAATTTAATGTGTCAACGTATAAATATCGTGTCATATTTATATTTCATATTTGGACATGCATCTATTAAGTTGTCAACTGTTAATTGTTTATTAATTATTTTTAATAAATTTTTAAATATTTATAATAAAACCAAAACTACTAATTCTTTTAACAACTAATCTCGATACAAATATACTTATTTCGGGTATCATATCAACTCCCACTTCCCAAATATAAGTGTTTAAATAATGGCATGCATAATGAACTTTGAGTAGACTCCTTCAAACTTCTCTTTTGTTATAAAACGAAGGGAGAACAAAACACAGAAATAAGAGAAAAGTATAGAAGTGTCACACAATTCTTATTATCCATTGATCATCAGAATTTTAATAGAAATCATGTCCTTATTAAGGATTAAATATAATAAGAAACTAATTATACTTAAATACACCATTAATGTGGTGATTATATAATACATAAAAAATCATGAGCAACCAAATAGTCATCCACACATTATGAGACATATGAAAGACCAAAGGTCATCCATATATTAAGATAGATATTTTACAACACTTTCCCTTGGAAGACTTTACATTAAGAATATCTCTCGTTAAAACCTTATTAAACAAAATTCAGTGGGATAAAAAATTTAGTGAAGGAAAAAGAGTACAATATTCATAATTAGCATACAATCTTTCATTATATGCTAACTTATACTGTTTTATTGAAAATAATTTCCAAGAAAAACTTAGTGGGATAAAAATTTAGTGAAGCGAAAAAAGTGTAGTGTGTATAACTCATCCTTAACTGAGCCATATACCCATGGAGCTAAGGACGAGGAACAACAATTAAAATTTTCGATAGTGACAATCTCGTAATCTTCTCCAATAATAAATTGTAGTAATGTTCAATTACATCGATAACATCCGTTTATCGTACTTACCCTTGGACGTCATTATGCTAAGTTCATGCCTTATTAGAACCTCGCTAGAAAACACAAAGGTAAAAACCAAGAAAGGAAAAATAATATATGACATATCCTACCAAAGCATTGTTTCACTGCCTCATTAAAAACTTCTGACCAAGAAAAAACCTTTAGAAAAAATCTTGGCAAAGGAAAAAAAAATACAGTAATAAACCTTCATGATGATTATTTCACTCCCCTTGCAGATAGTAATCTATCAAGTTTACGCATACTTATTCCATATACCAATTTCTCAAATGTGGGAGTACGTAGGGACTAGTGAATAAATCGATAAGATTGTCACTATAGTGAACTTGATGGATATCTATTTTACTTTTATCTCGGAGTTCATTTTGTAAAAGAATTTTGGTGAAATGCATATTCTTAACACTCTTAACATATACATCATTCATTGTGCAATGCAAGTTGCATTGGGTATTATCAATTGTGGGTAAACCACATGAAATATTAATAAGTTATTTCAAACACATTTTCGAGAAGTTTCATATAATGCACGGTCTCAGAGTGATTTAAGGAAGTAGCAACTACATTTTGCTTTTACAGCCTTCCATCACATTGTTGTGCTTCCACAAAGATATACATATATAATTGTTATTATGTAACATATAGCCAGCATAAAAAACTTCCACTAATATAAAATCTCAATCTCGTGGAAATAACCAACCAAGATGAATAGAATCTTAAGGATAATGAAAAATATGTTTAGCGTCATTCCAAAGTCTTTGGGTAGGGACAACATTATATTTACCTAGAATATTTACTACAAATGTAATATCAAGCTTGTTTCAATTTGCAAAGTATAATAGTGCTCCTATAATGCTTAAGATAAGAAACTTAAAGTCCTAATCCTATCTCGTTAACTTCTTTAGGTTTAAATGGATCTTTATTCACTTCTAGTGAATAGAACATCATTGGGGTACTTATATTGTTACATCGATGCAATAAAAAAAACTTTTTGGAAGATGCTCAATTTACAAGCCAAGATAATAATTTGTTTGAGATCATACAATGATCTTTGTAGTTTAATGCTAAACATACTGCAATTTTTTTGTTTTTGTATATGAGGTATGGGGAATCTGTAACAGCTCATTGTACATCGGTATTGTTAATATTAATTATGATATTAAGCGCAGTTACAATCACAACAATTCATTTATAAAAATGCGAGTAAACTTTTTCCGTTTATTACGCGAGCATTTAAAATAATAATAAAGCGTAATAAATAAAAGTTGTGACCATAACTGTAAACTCTTCGCGGAATAATATTAGAAACTACTTAAATATCATACAACACTTCTATCACGTCACTAAGGGGTTCTCATAAACCCACTTAGCTTAAATATCACTTTTACGTTTTCTACCTATCCGAACACGGTTCGGTCTTTTAATTACAGCGGATAATCTGCATTCTATGAACCTCTCATCTATTGATATGTTATTCTACACTTAAATAAATTTCTAACAAGCTATTACACGAGTCATAAAGTTCTCGTTTGCTCCGGATATTGCCGTTTGAAGTTGGACAAGCAAATATGTCAGCCAACCTCAATCCGGCTCCAAACAACCTTCATTCTATCACAGATTCCAGAAAATATACTCAACCAGTTTCTCTCAAATTGTTATACAGTAAACTAGATACCACAAGCTTCAATTTGACATATCATACACTTAATTTGACCAAGAAACGAAGCAGGAATAAAATTCCCAAAAACTGCCAGAAATAGCCCCTGCACAGGTGCATTCTGGACATTCCGAATTCAATGGCTTATACAGGTCTTCGTGCAACCCAGAAAATTCCCAAATTTTACCACAAGGTAGAGGACATCTCAAGCTTCAAAAAGGAGTATATTACGTCCCCATCAGACTTCTGTGGAGGGAGATATGCTCTTCCAAAGTTTGCCTAAATTCTGCCAATTTCTAAAA